TTCCACATTTTCTTTTGATCTCCAGTTTGAAAAAAGCATCTATAATAAGCCTTTTTTTTCTCGATTCTTTTCTTGCTGGACTTTCTTGGATATGTTTCCAAGAAGATCTATGAGCAGGTCGTTTCATTTTTTTTTCTTGATGTGCATGAGCTTCCAAAGGTCAAAGGACATCCATGGGTAGTATCCTTTGATGTTAATCCAGAACATTGAAGGACAGCCGAGAAACAGCTTATCTACACTATCTACAAAACGATTCAGTGATTCTCAGAATTTCGTAAAAGTTTGTAGTTTTGTTCTTTATCGCAAAACATTAGACCATTTATTATTATTTTGTTATTAGGGTGACCATTTCCATGTTAGAGAGGTTCAAAAATTTTTAATTTTAATTTTTGTACCAAAGATCAAAATATTCAATGAAAGGTAATTAAAAATACTTTTTAGGACAAATATAATGAAATTAAAAAAATTAGATTTTGTATTGATTGTAGGTACACACTAAAAAAATCTGAATTTTACTGGTGATGTAAACATCCATGCATGCAAACATTCATGCATGTAAACTTCCTTTTCACGTACACTAGCAGCTTGCAAGAAATATTGCAAACAAAGGTGGTGAGTTGCATACAATATATGGAATATTGCATGACATGTCTCATAAATTTACACGATTTATAATGTAAATTTGTATGATTTATGACGCTCCATTCATGTGCATCATAGTAACGGAAATTTACACTACTTTTTTTTAGCTGTGTATTTGTTTTTAATGGTTTTCATGGTTTGTAGGCACAATGAAGGCACAATATGCTTTTATATTTTTCCTCAACATATTTAAAAATCAGCGATGTTTTTTTTTCGTTTTTGAGTTATATTTTTTTGAAGTTTATCAAGTTTTGGGTTTTTGTTCAATACTCCTATGCGACTAGACTACCCTCCCCTTGGCTAGTTTTTTAACCTGGACGTTGGTGGGCGGGCCTAATCTTATGCTTCATAGTGGAGCGTTGGAGACGGTTGGTTTAGGTCCGGCATCGTTGGCTCATGCCGTGACAGAATAGCGTCATGAGCATGCGATGAGGATTACTGAGCTTCCCCTCTCTGATGAACCATTGCATAAGAGAACCAAAGTTCTAGCCTGAAGTGATAGTATCACACTTGTTACTCCTTTGGTTGAAAGCCGCGTTGTAGTACGCTTACGTATAGGCACTGACGTTGGGTGCGATACTGGCGGGTTTTGCCGCAAATCACTCTTATTTTATTTATTTTTACGCAGATAGATTTATTTGGGTTTGCAAGGGAATTATACTATTGAAATATTTCAGAAAGTGCCCAACAGTGCTCCTTCTACTTGCGTGACAAGCTTTCGTTGTTGTTTTCGTTGAGGTATTACTCAGGGAACAATGAACACCATTTTTGTACATGGTATTGCAACTAATCTTATATGTGCTTCATTTTGATTTGGGATAGGTGTTTGAACAATGGCTCGGGATTTCCACTGTGGCGTGCTTCTATTGTGACATAACCATACGTATTTTTGAGGTGCGACATAGTGGAAGCGTGTGAGCGTGGTTGAAGCATATACCCTATGTAATTAAAAATCAGCTAGGAAACTAACTTCGGAGTGAAGCATTTTAGTCACTTGAAGGTGTCACCTGGGACGCACTAATATATATTAAATATAGGTCAAAGTCAAAAACAACTTGAAACACGTTAAATTTTAGATTACATTCACAAGTGCAGGTACTTAATAAAGCATGGTAGGTAGATTAGAGATTTCAATTATTTATTAAATTAGACTAGAGATATCATAATCATCAAACGAACTTAAATAAGAAAATTTAGACAGCCTAGTAGCATTAAGTGGATTAACAGAAGAGTTAGGATGCGGAGGGTCCGCTTAGGGAGACAACTAGCCTTTAAAGCAACTAGCAACTAGCCTTTTCATGTATTGTCTGTTTATTTTGATTATTGCTTTAAAATATCAATTTGGTATATATGTGAAAGGATGAATCAGTGGGAGATGGATTTTCGGTTTCTTTACATTTGGCATCACTATGTGTCATTTCCTCAAAACCCCCCAATAACCGGCCTCTTCAATCCCTTCCTTTTCCCATGGCGTTCAAGTGGTCCGCATAGACTATTCAGCCATTACCCGTCCTTTATCCTCGGCTTTGGATTGACTTGCGCTCCCATTGCCCCACCAAACGCTGCAAAATGAAAATGAAAATGAAATACTCCTATGCGACTAGACTATCATGCGTCTACATTGATTTATACCGACTGTAACATGGATTTCTGGATGATGTCAATTGTGGTGTGTCAATGTGTGGTGCTGGTTACTCAATGATGTCGATAAAGATTTTGATTTTGAATTCTCATTGTATTTGATGAGTCACATCATAGGTTCTGGCTCAAGTCAGGATCTGGTCCTTTCCCTTGAACACCAGGAATATGTTCGTATGTGGTCAATGTGGTCTGGCCCCTCGATGAACCCTCAATATGATCACCAATGATTTCTGAATGCTCATGTGATTTATTGGGTTTTGGTTCAAAACAAATTCTAGCCACTTCCAAGGGGTATTCGTATTGCTTGGTAGGTGGAACACATCCTAAGAGAGATAGTATTATTGATTTAGAAGAATATTATTGACCGATTGATGAATAAATTTTGAAGTTTAGTTAACCTTTTTCTTTGTTACCCTATATTAATCCTTTTTCCATAATTTACCCTATATTAATCTAAAAACAACATTGCTGACCAGGCATGGAAAATCATTTACATTCATTTGCCTCTAACTTTCTTCATCAAAAGAATTCCGTAGAATGGTGTATAAAGTTTTTGTAGGTTCTGATGTTAGGTACAACTTTTGTATGAGACTCAATATCTGTATCTCTTATGCACGACGGACTAGAGCGGGCTGAACTTGATGTTGTTTTTCAGTGAATGTAATTAACATTCACTGAAAAACAATTGTGTGTTCTGTTTGCTCTGGTCCAGCATGCATAAGAGATACAGATTTTTGATTATTTACAGAAAATTCAAAACCTACAAAAGCTTCATACATTATTACGAAATTATTACGGAATTCGGTTGTTGAAAAAGTTAGAGGCAAATGAATGTAATTGAATACACGAAATGAATGTTAATGATTATCCATGTCTGTTGTTGAGGCATTTTGATCGATTGAATTCAAAAATATTACTATATTCATGATAATCGCATTTGCGTAACGCGACACCCATTGCAAAACCCTATTGGAAGGTAAGCTGACGCGTCAAGCTACGATATGATTTTATGAATATCGTGTAAACCTTTATTTTTTCTTTCAAAATTCTACTGTCTGCTTTTGTTTTGTTGTCAAGAAGAAATGCCTAGAATAAACCAGGGTTCAACAACGTTTACCAGAGCTGATATATGCACTTGTACCATTGATGCTCGAAAAAGTGGATTTCAGTGATGGTATCGCGTTACGAAATGTAACGCGTTATATTTCTAATTTTGAACATATAATGTTTAAAATAATATAACATCAGAAAGTACGTTTAGTATGAATAATTTTAAACCTGTTTCATCACTAGGTCACAAAGTTTATTTGCCAAAAAAAAAGAGCCTAAAGTGTTAATACAAGTTGACTCCTCGTGGTGTCGCGTCACGCTGAAATGTGTCAATTGAATTTATTAAAGAACCGGAAAGCGAGATAGTAGGTGAAATTGTTCTAAATAATAGCAGTCATAATAGTCCTATTGGATGCAGTAATAGTCCTATTGGACGGTGAACAGTTCGAATTAACTCACCAGGTGGCGCAAGTGTAACATTTAATTTCTAATAATTTGCTCAACTAGATAGAACAGTGGTTCTCAAACCTTTGTCGGTTCCGAACCGCCAATATTAAATGCAAATGTTTTATGGCCAAAATTACAACGAAAAAGCCTAACATGAAACCCAACAGAATGGCATTGAAATGAAGAAAACGTATTTTATATCATGTTTGCAATAATATCTCGCTACTAAAAACTAATAGCTAGAATATATTATGGACTACCACGAAGTAATTAGCGCTTTAAACACAATGAATCATTCGATAAACCCAACACTGAAGTCCTTTGTGTCCCAACGTCCGATCGCCCCTCGGCGCGAATCGGGTTTTCCATGCTAGCTTTCCACCGAGTACACGTGGGTCAAGAAACGCGACTGCTATCCAGCGTTTCCCACCATCATTCGTCGACCATTACTCCAGAGGTGCCCCCTCTTCTTTGTTCTCTACGTATCCGGAGAGAGAGCTCCGTATCATCATTGCTGTGAGAAACATGTGACTGTCAAGTCCGAGACACTCCATACGCGCGCTGTGTGCACACATCGCCAACGACGACGACGACACAACAAAAAACAACAAACAACAGCAGGCGACTCAAGTCAACCGAAACGGATCGCAGTAGCAACAGAGTGCGCGGAACAAAACGAAATGTGGTGATATTGACTCAGTTTTCCACTCGTTTTCGCCCGAACAGTTTGGGTGCCGTTCAAGATCCAATGACAGTTGGAAAAGTGCAGTAGCTTTAATCTGTAACATCTCAGGGTTCCTTTAGGACGGTGTTATCTCGGTCCGGTTGTAATCGTGAAGTGTGGTCACCTCCGCGAAGGGGCCGAAACTAAATTGTCGATTTTTGTTCTGGTGTTGCCCGTTCTGACCTGTTTTGTGAACGAAATTGAAACTGTACAATGCTCTGGTTGAAGAAACGTCTGACGTCGCTGTTTGGAGGGAAATCCCGCAACCGTGATCGGAGCATAGAAAAACATCTTCCAGCCGAAGGAGAACCTCACGGTCATTGTAGTTTGAGTGTTGGTAGTTCAAAATCTTCCTCGTTACGAAAATCGAAAAAAAGCGAAGACAAATCAACCAAATGTCGCTGCCAAAAGATAGTGTCCCAGTGTAATCTTTATCGAATATCGTGGTAATTATGGACCATTATTGATGTCATCTTTTTCGTTTGTTTAATTACAGGTCGCGTACATTCCGCGATGGTTTCCAGGATCCACGAGGCGTCACGCTCGGTCACCGTAGAGTGGTACGAGCGTGGCGAAACCAAAGGCAAGGAAGTCGAGCTAGACATGCTGCTGGAGCTAAACAAACCAGACCATTTAGGCGGAGACAGTGATGCCACACTAGTGCCACAACTTAGAAAGGACCATATAACTCCTGCACCAGCCAACCTTGCTAGGGTGAGTGTCTATTTCGCTTCTAACGTAAATCGTAGGTTAATCCTATTTGGAAACATGCTTCGTCTCCTACAGTGCAATCAAAGTCGTTGTCCTTTAAACGCATTCGTTCGAATAATAGTCGTCATACACATTGTCAACTCGTCCGAAACGAATGAAAATATCGAGCTAACAAGTTGCAATGAGGTCAGGTCCTGGATTTCCCCGCAAACTTTCCTCACCTTGATTTTTTTTTTGCGGAAGCGATGCGAGGTGAAACGGGTTGTAGGTATATCAAAGATGTGAACAAGCAACGGCGGAAAGGAGGTTACTTCGCCACTGCACTTTCGTCGTTGAAGCTCACTGATTCGTGCTTCTGATAGGAAGAAATTGCATTGATTTCATGGTTTTATATTTAGGGGGGAGGTGGTCCACCCTCCAAATACACTCCTATGCATGCCTAGGAATACGTGGTAGCTTAAACAGGAGATAGCACAAAAATACGGTCATACCAACCCGCTAGCTGTCTCAGATGTACCTCCCATTATTATAAAGTTTTTTTTTTTCGCAAACCAACTGGCCGCCATGAAGCGCGACGAATTGAAGCTAAAGAGCCGCACAGTTGAATGAAAAACTACATAACCGTCGTCGTCGTCGTCGTCTCTGTGTCGGCGTCGTCGGTAGTGGCGCGTCACCCACCCTTTTTGTAGATAGTAATAATAACAATAAAGTTCGAAAGTGGATCATTCATTCCTCGGCCGAAAATGGGCAATATTAACGTACGAGCGTTTGATGTGCGTGTGTGTATGTTTTGTTGTTTTGGTAGGCTCTTTTTGAGGTCTATTGAGCATGATGATGGTGCATCACGTCTTACAAATAGTGGAAATATCCGTTTTGGGAAAAGTGAAACTTGTCCTCATCAAGCGCTCGTCCGCCAACGCGTGTTTGCTCGTACATGGAAATACTGGTGGTTGCATTTTGCTTTGGTGTGGTAACAATAATGCTTGCTATCGGTAACCGAGGGAACCGCAATTCAGAACATTTGGGTGCAGGATAGCGAAATGAGGGGTTTAACAGAGATATTGAGTCACTCAATGCAACCATAAATTGTTAGGAATGGATGGAAGTTTAACCGAATGAATCTTAAAACACAAATTTTGAACAGAATTTAGTTAGAAACGGAACAGGGAGAATCAAGATTAAGTCCATGATTGAAGGAGGGGTAGTCCTAGAATTAGTGTAATAGATACGTAAAAATGCGTGACACAAGAAGGTTGGAAGAGCAGGGCTGGTAGCAGGTTACTTTTTAGTGACTTGGTCACTATTTTAAAGTCAGTCACTAAAAAGTAACTTTTTTCACCTAAAAGTCACTAAAGTCACTATTTCTTAAAATTTAGTCACTAAAGTCACTATTTTACGACTAATAATGTCAAGAGTAAATAATATGCCTTTAAAAAATTACATCAAGTAGGTAACAGATTGATTTAGCTACAAATTTGTGTTAAAAGATTTATTAAAAATCAGCGTGTAAAGTCCGACAAAATTGGTGCAAATTTACGTTTCAAAAGTATTTAAATTCTTTAAGGACAGTGAACTTACATTCCATGTATTCAAAATATGATAATTATTCCGGGTCGTTTCTTAACTTGTTTGTCTTAAAGATTTCGAATGCTTAAGCCCCATCATTGAAAAATTGGTCCAAAATCTCTAAAATGTATTCCGGAATCTATAATTTTTTTTTCGATTTCCACAGGTTAAGTCCGAGACACATGGAAAATATTCTACACGGCAAATAAATCTGGCTCATATGTGAGTCCCGTTAACTAAAAGTCGCATTTGAGTAAATTTTTAATCAAATATGAGCAAATATCACACATATTTGAATGACATTTATTCATATATGAGTGACATTTACGCATCTTTGAGTAAAAAATGACTCATTCTTGTGACATACGTTTTTGCAAATTTAAGTGAACTTGACTCCAATATGAGTAAGATTGCATTCACGATCTTTCCATCTTGGAAAATTTTCCTCGTTCCAGAAGATTTCTTCTGGGACAAAAAAGGAATAAATTTACGTATAAGCAACTCATTTAATAATAAATTCATAAATTAATAATAAAAACAATATTTTGTATACTTTAAGGATAAACCGTAGAGTGGAAAACAATTTTAAAAAGAGCTAAATTTTCAAATTTGGGGTGGCATAAAACAAAAATCAAATTTGCATTAGCCATAATTATGGTTAGCAGCAAATTCCAATTTGTAATTTCCCGGGGTTTTCCCCTAATTTTGGTGATTTGGCCGGTTGTTTTGAGATCGAAGAATTCATCATAAGATTCGTTTCGAAAAAACTTAATGAAACTTCCTTACATACTCCTTGCATTCTATTTAGAATTAGTCTGAATATTCCTTATAATTTTTATGCAATTCTCCTCAGAATTGTCATACAATTCTGTTCATAATTATATTGGAGCTCTCCACTAAATTCTTCTGAAAATTCGCTTGAAATTCTCCTCAGAATACCTTTGAAATTCTTCTCAGAATACCTTTGAAATTCTTCTCGAGATGCTCTTGGAAATAAACTTGGAGTTCTCATTAAACTCATCTCAGAATTCCTTTTTAATTGTTCCTTCAAAATTCGATTCTCTTGGTATTTATCGTGAGATCAATGAAACTCTCTTTAGAGTTCGCTTGATATTATCTGAAATTTTCTAAAAAATTCCTTCGAATTGTCATCACAATTCTTCTAAAAACTTATTTTGAATATTCATTTAAAATTAATCTGGAATCAGCTTCACAATCGTCAAGAATTTTCCAACAGAACTACCTGAAGATTCTACTCTGAACGTCTGAAGTCCCACAAATGACTGGGAGTTCTAGTGAAATCTCTCTTAGAGTTCTTAAAAAAAAGATCTATTGGTATTTTTCTCTAAAAAAAACATTGTTGTTATCATCCTAAAATCTTTTCAAACTTTTCATAGTATTTAGTTCATTTTCCAGTCCAGGGTCTTGCAATTGTTTAAAGGTCCAGAATCTTATTTTTCCCGGTTTGTCATCGAAATTCACGGGCTTTTCTCGATTTTTTCCCGGTGAGTTCGAATTCGCGTATTTTTCCCGATTTTCCTAACAAAAAAATAATTTTTCCGGCAAATTATGGGATCGGTTAACCATTATTTGTTTTATTTTAAAGGAGCATGAAAATGCTCAGGATGGGTTGTGATAGTGAGTTTATAAAATTTCTCGAAGTGGGTTGCAGTCAACTAAATATTGTAACCATTTTTTTTTTCGATCAATAAATGTCACTTTTTATTGCTTTAAAATCACTATTTGGTCACTATTTTCGTTATTTTAGTCACTAAAGTCACTACTATTATATTACATATCCACTACCAGCCCTGGAAGAGGGAAATTCATTTAAAAGTGATTGTTTGAGTGCTTTTTCAATCAGGCGAAAAACAAGAAAATTTTTGTTTTCGGATATTTAAAAAATATGTCAAACATACTATATAAAAAGTCTATACGATATCAAAGGTAATACGCTAAACTGAAAAATGGAACCAATGCTTCCAATTCGAAAATAGTGCAGAGAGTAAATTTAATCATTATATTCTACTATCAAAGTTACCCGCATTATCAGAGATACCCCGTTGTTCGGTACCGAATTACTGTGGAATAAATAATGAAGTATTCTTTTTTCGATACAGTTAAATCACACATACTTGCTTTTCTCACAAAAAGCCTCAATAAAAAGTGATGTACTGCATTGGACCTCCCTTAGTTCAGTTAGTAAAGGGGCAGCTACAAAGCAAGACCATGTTCAAGGAGGTGGCTCGGTTCGATTCCCGGTCCGTTATATGATTTTTTTTGGTTGGAATCGACTTCCTTATGAATCCTCATTAAATTATGATGTTCCGTATCATTTGAAAAATTTGTTGACCTCTCCAAATACGTGCCTTCCTAACAATCAAAACAGATCTTCTTAGCCACAAAACCAAGCGATGATAGTTATATTTGACCATACAGCAAAACCTAGGCCCGAACCTTTTCTTGTTTCCAATCTCAAAACCGAGTCACATAACCGCCAACAAGACGAGCTTAGGGCCAGAGTTCGATGTGGTTCATCTTATACCAGTAACGCACCACGAAAAGGTAGCCTACCAGCGTTACTGTCAATGATTTCTGGATAATTTTAATGCGCCATATCTGAACCTTAAGAACGTTCTACTAATGAAACAAATTGAATTGAGCAGAGTGGCCAGCGATCCAAAAAATATTGGGACACTGCTGCACTCCACACTGTTCGAAAAATTCATGTAAATTTCTGCGAGATATAGCGCACATAAAATTAACGCTAGATTTGGCATACATTTACGCGATATTTCATGTGAATTTAAGCGCAATATTGTATAATTAGCAATATTGTATGCCAGCTTGTAAACGATTTCGCCAAGTATAGCTCAAAATAAACGAAGGGAGATTTTACGCGATAGCTAAAATTCAGATTTTTTTTTCTGTGCACCGTATATGGTACGCATCATCTTCCGTTCGAAAACACCACGTCCTCCACGAGCATAGTCCAGGTCTCGTGGCCGTAGAGGACCATCGGTCTAATCAGCGTCTTGTAGATAGTAGACTTTGTACGGCGGCGAATTATATTCGACCCGAGCGTCCTCCGAAGTCCAAAGTAGGCACGATTTCCTGCCATGATGCGTCTGAATTTCTCTGCTGGTATCATTTTCGGCGGTTACCAGTGAGCCCAAATACACGAACTCGGATTCTCCTTACATGCACAATAAAAATACCCTTGGAACTTTTCTCGTACCTTGGAATTCGCTTCAGAATTCTCTTGAAACTCTCGTGATATAATATTTCTTGAAGATTCAATTTTCTCAATTTTAATCAACACACTCAACAGGAATCCTCCTGAGTCTATTCCTTTGCAATTATCCTAAGCACACCCATCATAGTCTGCTTATAATTCTGTTCGAATTATCCTCAAATTATCCTCAAAATTCTCTTGG